TTCTGCCAGCCTGGGAGAGGTCTGGCTGGCCTCCTTGGCTGTGGCTGCAGGAGAGGGGAAAAGGATGAGGTGTCACCCCTGGCTGAGCTGGAGAGGAGAGGGCAGGGCCATGAGAGCCAGCCCAGATGGCTGCAGCAGCTCTCAGCACCCCACTGCCTCGGGAAGGGAGGAAAAGTGGGAAAACCGGGATAGAGGGAGAGGGCATCCACCTGAAAGCTGGTCCTTTGGTGTGCAAAGTGCTCCAACACCACCTGGGAGCAGCCGGGAGAGCCCAGCTCCGGTAAGTGATGCTCCCCAGCCCTGCCCAGGCAGTTCACCTCCCTCTCCTCCCTTTTCCCCTTGCCTCGCGTGAGTGCTTGGGAAATAAGCGATGACTATTTGCCTGCAGCTCCAAGCCCTTCCCTCCCCCTCTCCCCAGGCTCCATCACCAATAAATCACCCCGCTGGGAGAGAGGGCCAGAGGAAACCAGAGGCACAACTCAGGGGGCAGAGCTTTTTTTTTTTTTTCCCTTTTTTTTTCTTTTCCCTGCTCTCCCAAGCAGCTCTGCATTTCATTAGGCGGCCAGGCCAGCCCTCGCCCAGCTGGGGAGAAGGAGGGAGGGGAGGGGGCCCCTCAGGGTTTGCATGTCGGGAGCAGAAATCACAACCAGAAGGCCGAGAGAAGGGAGCTGTTTGTGTTTGTCGCTCATCCCGGTGCTCGCCTGGCCCTGACCCTGCCTCCAGGAGCCCGTGCTGGCCTGCAATAATTCTCTTTATTGGGTTTCCTCCTTGCCAAGGCAGCTCTGGGCACCTTCCAGCCATCCCCTCACCATGCCAGCCCCTCTCTCTGCCCCGCTCCAGCCTCTCAAAGGATCCTCCTTGGAAGAAGCCCTGGAGTTTTCCATGAGGTTTAGCCCTGCCGGGAAGCTCCACCGCCTTCCCCCTCCCTCCCCCTGGGCTGGACCACCCTGCCCAGGAGAACACGGAGCCTCTCCCTGCTCCCCTGCCAGAGCCCCCCGGCCCTCTGGGGACCGGGGAGGGGGTTATATCGAGGGTGGGTCCCCCCACCCACCCTAAATATATATTGGCAGAGCATCACTGGCAAGCACAGTACATTGGAGACAGATGCAAGCCCTGCAGCAGCACGGGAGATCCAGGCATGCCTCTCCCCAGCCTTTGGAGCTGTCATCTAAGCACGCAGCACTGTGCCACAGCACAGCCCCACCCCTCCTTCCCCCAAAAAAAAAACCTGTCCTGGGGTTTAGCCTTTGGAAAAACTTCCAGAGCTGTTCTGCTGTCCCCGGGCTCCCCAGGCAGGGAGAGACCCCCGGAGGTGCAGCCCCCAGGGATGCTCCAGTCCCTCCAGGCAGGGAGAGACCCCAGGAAGTGAAGCCCCCAGGGATGCTCCGGCACCCCCAGGAAGGGAGAGACCCCAGGAGATGCAGCCCCCAGGGATGCTCTGGTACCCCCCAGACAGGGAAATTCCTCAGGAGGTGCAGCCCTCGGGGATGCTCCAGTCCCTCTGGGCAGGGAGAGACCTCAGGAAGTGAAGCCCCCAGGGATGCTCCAGTCCCTATGGGCAGGGAGAGACCCCAGGGGGTGCAGCTCCCAGGGATGCCCCGGTACCCTGGGGCTCTCCGAGCAGGGAGAGGCCCCAGCAGGCTCAGCCCCGCTGCTGGGCTGCCTCCCGCCCCCTCCCTGCAGCCTGCCGGATTCCTGAGCGCTGACACAGGATGCTACAGCAGTGAGTGTGCGGAGCCTTCCTCCCCTTCCCATGCCGCAGGAGATGGCCGGGTTGCATCAGGCCAGGAGGGAGCGAGAGCAGCCAGAGTGAAACGTGGAGCTCCTGCGAACCCCTGGCTGCCCAGCGGCTCCCAGCCCCGAGGCGGTACCCTGGGGCTCTCCGAGCAGGGAGAGGCCCCAGCAGGCTCAGCCCCGCTGCTGGGCTGCCTCCCGCCCCCTCCCTGCAGCCTGCCGGATTCCTGAGCGCTGACACAGGATGCTACAGCAGTGAGTGTGCGGAGCCTTCCTCCCCTTCCCATGCCGCAGGAGATGGCCGGGTTGCATCAGGCCAGGAGGGAGCGAGAGCAGCCAGAGTGAAACGTGGAGCTCCTGCGAACCCCTGGCTGCCCAGCCCCGAGGGAACCCCCCTATCCTCGAGGGATCCCCCCAGCCCCGAGGGTCTCACCCAGCCCCGAGGGCTCCCCCCAGCCCCGAGGGTCTCCCCCCAGCCCCTGCTGGCACCTGGCCCGGCCAGACACCTTTAAAGGCGGGGATGATTCACACCTTTGACCCTCCCTTACCGGGAGTCATTCCCTCTCCCCAGCAGGTATCCCCGAGGAGAGCCGCAGCCTGGGATTGCTCCTGGACGATTACAGCAGGAGAAAAGTGAAAGGCTGCTGCTGCCTGCCCTCCTTCCCAAGCATCACCCCGGCAGCCCAGCTGCCACGCTCCCTCTGCCAGCATCTATCCCAGCCTCCGGCTGTGCTGGAGGATTTTCCCAGCACTTCTCCTCTCCCACGGGAGCTGACCCGAGCTGGGGGAAGGGCAGCAGCCGAGGCCAGCGCTTCCAGCAGCTCGTTGCTATTCTAGGAAGGGTAGGATCCTGCCATCTTCCCATTAAGTCATCTCCTCCTCGACCCGGTGAGGCAGTTTCCATAGGAGTCACCCTCTGTCCCCAGTGATGGAAGTTTTTTATTTTTATCTGGCTTATTTATGCGCTTCTCTTCCCTCTTTCATCATTGGCCTGGGCAGTGAGTTTGGGTCATTAGCCTCGGCTTGAGCTCATTGCCTGTCCTTGCTCAGCTGTCCCCTCTGTCAGACTCATTTCTGGCTCTGTGAGCAGACGAGAAGTCCAGGGGTAGAAGCAGCACAACAGAACAGAGATGAACAAAGGAAAATAAACCCAGCTTAGGTAAAAGTGATTATAGGATTGGGAAGAAAAAAAAAAAAAAGGCAGTGAGCGAGTAAAAAATAAAATAAAACAAAAAATCCAAAAGCAACACAGTGCCATTATTAGGGGTCTTTTCGATGTGAGGCTGGTTTGGCGCAGAGCTCACCAGCAGCTATCACATCTCTGTTGTTATTTTTTCTGTCCCCCTCAGCCACAGCAGCCAGAGGCTCCCTGGGGACACGCACGTCGCAGGGAGCAGACCCCACAGGTAAAAACCCAGCCACGGATCAAACGAGGCGTGTGGCAGCACAGCAGATGGAGCTGGGCCGGGTCTTTCGGGGACACGGCTGCGTGGCCATGAGCTGGGAGGGGAGAACTCCACGGGAGGTCACACCAGCCCGAGGGAGCTGCGTGGGCATCCGTGGGCATTCTCTGCCCTGCTGGCAGAGGCCAGCAGCAATTGAGGTGTTGCACAACTCTCCTCTGGAAGACAGAGTAGATCCGAGCGCTGCTGGGTGCTCTGTGCCAGGGGGAGGTTGGGTCTTGTCTGTCTGGGGACACCAGGGCCACACCAACCAGCAGGATCAGGTGATCTTCCAGGGGCTGGATGCTAGAAAACTCTTGGAAATGCCAAGATCAGGAGTGCCCCCATCCCATTTTCGGGATTTGGAAGGTGGGCAAAATAATTCACTTCCGTGGAGATGCTGCTGGTGGACAAGGAGCAGGACTGGAACCTTGAGAAGGAACCTGTGCTGCTGCAGGAGCTGGAGGCTGTTTCCATCCTCCAGCTTCTGACCTTAAGAGCAGGAGAGCTGGGGGAGATATCTGTGCAGCCATCCTCCTCCTCCTGCTATTCTTTCACTAGAGAGATCCTCCTCACCTCCCTTGAGACAGGAGTGAGTGTGGGGCTCTCCTGGAGAGCACTTGTAGGAGGGAAGCAGGGACAGCACCTTCCCATCACCTCCCAGAGGTCAGTGAGTGAAAAGAAATGTCTCATCACACCCATTTCCTTGTGTCAGCTACCAGACTGAAATTGTGTCACCATTAGGTGCAATTACCTAGAAAATTCAGATGGCAGGACTTTTGCTTTTACCTAAGAATGAGGAGCTATTAAATTGCACACCAAGTAGCAGGGCTGCCTCAGAGCCACCCCAGACCAGGCAGTTTCTCCCAATCTCTCCCATCCCCCTGCTTTGGGATGACCCAGCCCAACACCTCCAGTTTCTCACAGGCCCAAGGTGTTAAAACCTCCACGTTGGTAATTTCTCGTGCCCCCACCACAAAACAGGCTCCCAAGGTTCAGCCAGATACCCCAGGCTGCATTTCACAGCACACAAACATCTTCAACTTGCCAGAGATGCAATCCCCAGTCGAAAAGTTCATTAATTAGGAGCAGAGAAGCCTCTAGTGAATCTTCCAGCAAGAAGCAAGGAAAGAAAAAAAATTCCCCCACAATTCAGTCTAATTACAACGCCTTGGGGCACTCCACTCACTGTGAAGCCGAGGCCAAACTTTTCTCCCCACCCCTAACAGCAGGAACTTTAACCCAGTTATAGTTTTACTGATAATGAAAGAGAAGGGAAAAAAACCCTCCTGATATTTATCGTTTGAACTATTCTGCAAGTAACAGCAAAGCAGAGGCACAGAATCACTTCTTGCAGAGCAGCAGCTGTGTTCTACTGGGTAAAACCCACTCGCACAGCCCCAGTCCAGATGTGTGAGCAGGCACTGCTGGAGGCCAGTGCTCAGCCCAGCTGTGCCACAGGCCGGGTCAGGCTGCACCCAGCTGCTCCTCAGGGATTTAGCAACCGCTTCCCACCCACAGCCAGTGACTCTGCACATCAGGTACTTTCAGAGAAAGACCTCAAATGCCACGGCAGCTCCGGCGCCGAGAAGAGGCTGCAGCCAGAAGAGCAGTGGGAGCACCTGGAAGATCCCGGGAAGGACTCCAGGCACCCTGACATAAGTTCCCTTTCTTCCCCGGCTCCCAGAAGAGCTGGACTCCAACCCACCCCAAGCCTCTGGCGAGGCTGGGTGGATCCAGCCACAGACATGCAGAACCACACCCCGGCTGCTGCCTGCCCTCCTCCCCCTCGAGCCAGCGGGGCACAAACAGGAACTAGGCTCATACAGTTGAAAATATTTAATACGTGTTGTACACGTAGAAATTACATTTTATACAAAACATGATACATCACTGAAGGAGAACACTGTACAAAATTCCCTACGGGAGCCCCAAGCCTTTATACAACAAAGACCGGGAGTTACCAAGCCTAACAAACAGGCTCAAGGACTTTCCGTCAGAGCGTCTGTAAACTTCGTTCCTCTCAATAAACACTTTTAAAAAGCACCATGTAATAGTTCTGACCTAAACCTTTCCAAAATAGACACTTTATTTAATAAACTTAATACTTTCCAAACTTAAAATATCACCCGCCGGGGGCGGCCCCGGGGTCGGCGGCAGCCGAGGAGCCTCCCCCGGGCGCCGGGGAGGGCGGCGGCTCTGCCGGGAAGGGGAATTCCGGGAGGGCAGGGCCGGGGGCGCTCCCAGGGCGGGCGCCGGCAGCCGGGACCCGCCGGGGCACGGGGAAGCGCTGCCGCCGCTGCCCCGCGCTCCCTCCCGCGCGGCGGCCAAGGACGCCGGGTCTGGCCGGCGCCGGAGCCCCGCGGCGCTCGGTGGGTGTCACCTCCGGGCCCCCCGGCCCGCGGCGGGCAGCCAGTCTCTGCGGCCGGGGCATCAGAAGGCCACGATGGCCGTGCTCCAGGGGTTCAGGGTCCGCAGCACCGGCTCGTCGCAGCAGATCTGTCCCGGCTCGGCCGCCGCCTCGGCGGGCGCCGTGCCCGCCGCCGCCTCGCCGCCGTCCAGAGGCGGTCGCCGCCGGCCCTTGGGCTCCTTGCTGAGCAGTCCCGAGAAGCTGGAGCCGAAGATGCTGATGAGGCTGGCCACGTTGCCCGTCTCCATGTCCTCCTGCTCGCCGGGCGGCGAGGGCGGCGGCAGCGGCGGCGGCTCCTCTTCCTCGCGGCGGGGCTTCTTCACCGGGGAGCCCGCCTGGCCGCGCTCGCCGGCGCTCCGCTTGCGGGGGCAGTGCGGCGGCGGGGGGGCCCCGGCGGGGGCGGCGGCTCCTCCTCAGCGGGCCCGGCGGCGGCGGGGGGCGGCTCGGGCGGGCAGCCCGGCTCGCTCAGGTAGACCTGCCGGGCGCTGCGCAGCACCAGCGACACCAGGAGGTTCTTGTGCAGCTTCAGGCCGCCGCGCTGGCCCCGCGCGCTGTAGATCTTGCCCAGCGAGATGCTGACGATGCGATGAGCCTCCAGCTTGAACTCCATGGGGAAAGCAGGCGGGCGAAGGGGGGGTGGTGGTAAAAAAAATTAAAAAAAAATTAAAACTCCGGGCCGAGCGGGGATCCGCGCCTCACGCCAGCTCCGCACGCCGCCCCTTCGCGCCGCAGACTGAGCGAGCCCACGCGCCCGCCCGCCTTTTATACGGCCCCCGCCTCGGCCAATCAGGGCTCGCCGCCGGCCGCTCCAACCGCCGGCTGGCCCCCGCGCGCGCGCCGCGGCCAATGGCGGCGCAGGGCAGCGCGTTCGAAAGCTCGCCCCGCGGAGAGGGCTCTTAAAGCGGCAACGCCAGCGCGCCGCGCGCGGTGGGGCCCACCGCGGCGCCCCCGGCTCGCTGCACCCCAGGCGGGCAGCGCGGGGAATTCGGGCCTTGGAAAGCGATGGAAACCTTCCTCGGGGAGAAAAAAACCAAACAAACCCAACAAAACAAATCAAACCCAGCGCAGGCTCCGTTTGGTCAGGTTTCCTGCAATTTCAGCCCCTTGTCTGGGGTCTTAGAGAAGGAGCTGGTGGTGCTGATGGCTGGAGGGCGAAGCGTGTCTGTGAGGATTTCAGGGAAAATCTGCCCTGATGTGGAGCAGAAAGCCGTGCTTGCCCAGCTGCCAGGCGGAGTTCTGCTCCAGGGGTCTGGCAGTGGGGCTCTCAGAAAGCCCAGGGCAGAAAGATCCACGAGGGGGCTGGGAAGGGCCACCGGAGGACAAATAGGGCATCTCCAAGGGGATGGGCACCACGGCAAGCTGGAGCACCTTGGCTGGCAGCTGGAACATCACTGGGCTGTAGCTGTGAAAGCTGGTGGCAGGATCGGCAGGGTGGCTGGGGGACACAGCGGGTGACACTGTCACCCCCAGACACAGCTCCAGGCACCAGGAAAGCCTCCAAGAAAGTTTCAGAGCTTGGAGTGCAGATCCTCCTCCTTCCACCAAGGGCTAACCACCATTTGCAAGCAAGAAAAAGAAGTGAAAGGGCCAAAAATTAAGGAAGTTCAACGTGCTGCCCCAGAGTACCAGTTTCCACTCCCAGCTGACACACGACAGCTTGCTTCCATCCCTTTTTTCCCAGGGGATGAACCCACAGACTCCCCCAAAAGAAAGCCACAGGCTGTCATGACATTTTGTTGGCCTGTAATCCCGTCCTGGCATTCTAGAAGGGCAAAAGGGTGGCTGGTCTCAGAGGTAACAAAAAAAAGGGTGAAGATGAGGCCACACCAACGCATAGTTGACATAGCAAGAGCCTTCTCCAAAAAAAAGAAAAACAACCAACAAACCCAGGCTCAGGACAAATGTGTGTTTTCCTCCTGGTCCGACACAGATGGAAAACCTCAAAATGCCACTCTCTGGGTGTCAGACACAGCAGCGTGTCAGCCTGGGTGATGACACCTCAAGATGCCAGCCCTCCTCCACCAAACCTCCGCGCTCCGTCCGGGGCACGCTCAGCCCCACGGCCAAAACAGCCGGGCCAGCTCCCCCCGCAGACAAAAAGCGCCAGAGGCAGGAGGTGCCAGGCGAGCCCCCAGCAGGGAGAGCCTGTCCCGGCCCCAGGAGCGGGGCTGTCCCCTCCACACCCGGCGTGGGAGGCCGCAGGGACGCCGGCTCTGGCGGTGGGAACCGGGGCTCTCCCGACCTGCCAAACCTGCTCCCCGCACCCCAGGGGCCAGCAACACCCTGTCCTAAGCCCTCAGGTCAGCCCAACCAGCCAGGGCGGGTCTGGGCTTGCGTGCCTGGGACGGCAGTCACGGCTCTTCACCCACATCTGCCCACCACCAGTGTCCCCTTGGTGATCCATCGCCGGCTCCGGGATTGCTGCTTGCCAGATCTGGGTGCTTGCATCTTCAGCAGAGGGTCAGAAAGTCGGATTTATACACCCCAGCTGGGCATATCCCAACTCAGGGGCAAAAAGCAGCAGTGCAAAGTCACCGCACCAGCTGGGAAAAGCCCAGGGCAGGTGGAGGAGGCAGAGCGTGGGAGCTCTGTGGGGTGAAGATGCCTGGATGCGAGCAGACTGACCTGTTCTGCTGCTCACCACCTCACCCTGATGGCACGAGGTGCAGGCACTGCCTTTTGGCTGCTACCCTGCCTGGGAACAGGCGGCCCAGCAGCCTCTCCCGGCCCTGGCCAGGGATGAGCAGGACGGGGATGGGGACTGAGTGAGCCCTCATCCCCCTCAGTGCTCACACAGAGCACCAGCAGGGAGGAGCAGGGGGGCAGTGCTGGTACCCAGCAGCACGAGTGTCACCCACCAACACCATTCCTGGTGTCAGGCACAGCCATCAGCACGTTGTTCCTGGGCCACCAAAGCCCTGCCTGGACACCTGCCTGCTCTCTTTGCAGAGATGGAGTGATGGTTTTCCCTTTTCCACAACAACATCTCATCTCAGAATCATGGTCCAGGACGTCTGCCAAAGCAAAGGTGCATGCACACTATATTTATTATTATCTGAAGTGGGCTGCTTCACAGACACATTTAATTCTCATCCCTGGGAATGACCTAAAGGCTGGCTTTATTTGTGTGTTGTCAAAGCGATCTCTTTCATTTGTTTCCTAGCAGGCACTACCTTGGATGGCAATCATCCTCGGGGGGATGCAGGGAGGAGGCGGGCGGGGGTCTCCGAGCGGCAGAGGCGGAGGCAGAGGCAGAGGCAGAGGCAGAGGCACAGGCAGAGGCAGAGGCACAGGCAGCCGGTTGAAGGCAGGCACTATTTTGGTGGCAGCCCTGCCGCTCCCTCCCAGGCTGATGTCATGCTTTAGTAACTTTGAGGCAGAGTCACATGGCAGCTTCTGAGGTCAGCGCCCGGGGTGGCTTTGTCTGCCTTCCTTGTGCCTGCCCCGAGGCTCCTCCGTGCCTGCACGGCCCCCTCCGGCGACCCCCGGCTCGGCATCCCGGCGTGCCACAGCTGGGCACAGCTGGATCCGCCCCTGCCCTGCGGTGTGCCCGCGGCGGGGACGCGGCCCCGGCCCCGCGGGTCAGGGGGGGATGCGGCAGGAGGGAAAGGGTGTGAGCGGCCGCTCTAATCTCCTCATGTGATCCAGCGGGCTTGGAAGGGGTTTGGCGAACAATTAACAATCCTCCGGCTCAGCTGCTGTTTCCCGAAATAGCTCTGGCAGCAGCAGCAGCAGCAGCAGGAGGAGGAGGAGGAGGAGGAGGAGGAAGGGGAGGAAGGGGCGGCCGGGCTGGCTGGCAGGCAGACAAAGGTGGCCTCTCCGCGACAGGCACGGTGGCCAGGAGGCAGCCCCGGTGGGCCACCTGGAAAGGAAAGCAATGCGACACAAAAGCAGCTCGAGGGAGGGAAGGAGGGAAGGAGGGAGGAAGCAGCTTGCCGTGCCGCTGATAATGGCAGGGGGCTGCGCGCACACCGCCGGCTTTTTTTGGAGGCTTTTTTTGGAGGCGTTTCAGCTCCGAGCAGAGCAGGTCGGCGCCGGGATGCTGGCCGGGGATTCGGGAGCGGGCCGGGATGCTGGGGAGCCCCGGCCCGGCCATCTGGCTGCCAGCGGGGCACCCCGGGAACGAGGATGTGGTTAGCGAGATCCTGCTCCTGACCCCCTGCCGCCCCCCTCGCTGTCACCAAATGTGCGGGCCAGGCCCCGGGGAGGGGGGGGCGGATGCGGTAAAGAGGTGGAAAGCCCTGGGATGGACGGTGAAATTCGGGTCTGAAGCACACGCTGGAGTCATCCATCACCAGTGCCTCTCTCTCCTATCCAGACCAGGGTTCGTGAGTTAGACCCTTCCTGAGAGGAGGATGGGAACAAAACCATCAAAAACCCCTCACCAGCAGCGGTGCTGAGGCTGCCCGGAGCAAAAACAGAACTTCAGGACGGCCAAAGCCCCCGGGAGACCCAGGCACGTCCCCCAGGGATTGCTGACGTAAACCAAACAGGACAGGGAGGAACATTTCCAAATGGGAATCTATCCGCAGCTTGAGTCCATTTCTGGATGGGAATAAACACCTAAATTGCAAGGCACCCACGTGGAGCTCGGGAGGAAGAGGAGGAAGGTTATCTGGGGTTGGTTTTTTTTCCCCCCAGAAAAATCAATGATTCGTGTGGATGCGGCCTGGACCTGCCACAATCAGATATTGGTAACTAATCCCCCGGGCTTCCCAACTGCTCTGCTTTATCCTTGCTTGGAGATAAGGTCAGAAGAGCTGGGAAACATCCCAAAACACAGCCCAGAGAGCCAAACGCTAATCGCTGATGAACGAAAGCCAAACACAAGTGAAACAAATACAAACAAATCAATACAAACCCAAACCCAAAGGAGAGGAAGCAGCTCCCTCGGCTTCTGAGAGTGCTGAGAGACCCGCCCCAAAACCACAGTGAGGTGTGAGCCTGCAGCACAGCCATGCACTAGAAAGCAAAGGGGTTTTCCAGGGTTAAAACCCTCTTCCCATGGCAGAGATCACAGTGCTGCTCTCCCAGGCAGGCAGGACTCTCTCCTACACTTTATTTTTTTTTTAATTTTCACCAGTGATCTGGGATTCCTCCTTCTCCCCCTGCACAAATGGTTTAAAATTTCCCTTCCCTCCCTCTGAGCCACTGGCTTGGGATTTCCCTCAGCTCTCCTGCAGAACAGTGACCTGTCCCTCTGCCCATCAGATATCCTGCTGCTCCTCCAGCAGCCTCTCCAAACACAAAGAGAGGGGGAAAAAAAATCCCACTCCCAGCTATCAGCTTCTTCAGGCAGCTGTTTCCCTTGGAAAAAATGTGACCCCGACATCTTTCAGTGGGTTATGGTACCGGCTTGGGTTTCCTGGGGAAAAAATGCATTTATTTGTCTGGGCTTTCCTATCAGACAACCCTTCTATTGTAGTCCACCTTCCTGTATGTTTTTTGCCCTCTCTGATACGCCTGCAGTGGGTCCTGTGCCACTTCCAAAGGCTGCCTTGTGTCCAGGGCAGAAAGAAGCAGGCCAGCCCTGCCATGCAGAGCCCGTGTTTTTTCACCGGAGTGATTTTCTCCCCAGCAAACTCTGAGCTCAAGCAGGCAGCAGCCTCGGTGACAGGGGCTAAACATCTCCAATTAATCACAGGAACTCCGCAGCTTTGTCTGCCCAGAGGAGGCTCTGCCTAATTATCTTTTCCCCCCTCTCCCTGCATCTCAATGTCACCTTCCTCGTAGCCATGGGGCAAATGACAGCCGCGTTCCCAGAGTGCAGATGTGTCCTTGGTGCCACTGCTCCCCGCTTGGGCGGGGTGGGGAGGTGGCACAGGGATGCTCGGAGCCACGGAGCTGCCTGCTCTGCTTCCCTCTCCCTTCCAGGTCCCCCAGGGCCACCGGGGACCTTGGGACCTGCTAGAAAATCACACCACAGAGGAGCAGCCATCGCTGAGAGCAGCAAGGGCAGAGCAGATCCTCTGCAAGGGCAGAGCAGATCCTCTCTGTGTCAAATCCCTCCTCCCACCAAGGGGAACTGAGAAATGGAACATCTGTGCCTGGCAGCAGGGGTTGGTGCCTCGGCTCCTGCTGATCTCTGCCCCTTCCCTCTTCCTGGCACTACCTTGTCCTTCTCGTGGTTTGTGGAGAGCCTGGAGCCATGGATCACCCATGGGCACAGGGATTATGAGGAAGTTTTTAGGGTTTAAAAGCTGCCTGGGAAAAGTTCCTTCTAATTTCACCCATAACAAGGACCCTGGCAGTCCAGCACCTCGCTGCTTCTGCAGCTGAACAATCTCTTTTTGGATCCATGTAAGACATCAGCAATCCTGGCACCCCACGGCAGGCAGTCCCAGGGATTCATCCTGCAGAAAGCAATGCTGCCTTTCCTCAACTTCATTTTCCCGTTTCATTCCCCAGAACACTGAATATTTAACTCCAGACCAGTGTTTTGCATCGTCATCTCTGCCTTAATCCTCTTCAAACCACCACTGACAATTTTCAACTATCACTAAAAACGAAAATGAGGAGGAAAACCACCAAAGCATCCGAAAACCTTTATGGCTTCTTCCTTTAGCTGTCAAACCTTTTCAGGGGTGGGGAGGGGAAAGTCCCCTCTACTTTTATAAATCCAAATTCAAACCAACACAGCTTTTCCCTGAGAAGAAAAGGCACATCTTCCACACCAAATGCACATTCTTTGCACCAAGCCAGGATGGGATCACACCCCCCCCCCATGCGTGTAAACACATGCCACAAAGATTTTCCTGATAAAAGTTCCAGGGAGCCCAGCTCTTCCCTGCAGACAGCTGGGATTCTGATGAGTTGGCACTTTTCACGGCGCAGAAATGTTTCATCAGATCTTTCCTGACCAGTTCTGCAGCTGTGTGCTCTGCACCCAGCTCTCCTCTCCCAGCAGGAATTGCTTAGCTGAGCATGCTGAAGAGCTCCCAAAAAACTCCTCGCTGCCTCCAAGCCCCAAATCAGAGCTTCCCTTATGGAACAGCAAAAAACAGCCTGGTTCTAAAAAATATAAACCACAGCGTGGTTGGAGTGGCTTTCAGGAGAAAATGTAAATTATTTACTACATCACATAAATTAATGTCTAGCATCAAAGACCAGGCTGTCTCTTTTATCCCTTGAAAGTTTACAACTTCCCTAGATTTTGGTAAAAATCCTTATTTTCCTCAACAGCTCTGTGAAGCTTTACACTTTTTGGAAATGGACTCAAAAATCTTAGGTATTTTCCAACCTAAGCGATTCTGTTAAAAAAAAACCAAAAAATATTTTCAAATAAATGAATAAAGCATTCAAATAATTTATTGAAGGATTTCTGAAAGTAAAATTCTAGGTAATTACTAGTAAATTCTAAGAGGCAACAGGACATTTCCCCTTTTCCATTCTCAGTGCAGCAAAGGTTTCAGGCACAGGTGGAAGTCACAAGAGGATCATGAGGTTTTGGGGCAGCACAAGGTCTTTGTGGGACAGGGACAGACAAACTGGACCAGCGACTCCTTGGAACTCTGTTTGTTCCTGGAGGGAACCTCCCATGCTAAGCATGCCTTTGGCAGGGACTCCCCAAATCCTGCCAGCGTGGGAAAGTCATCCCAAACTCAGCAAGGAAAGGCCAGCAAATGCCAGCCCTAAAGCTTCCACCTGTTGCACCACTCCTGGCGTGGGGCTGGCCAGAGCAGGAGGTGGATTTCTCAGCCCAAGAGCTGCAGAAACCAGTTCAACGTGTGCCACAGCCTTCCCACCCCAGGGTGAGCGTGAGGAAAGCTGCTGGGATTGCAAAAGCTGGCTCTCCTGTTCCCATGCTGAGGAGGCACCTCTGCAAACGGGGTTTGTGCCTCTGCCCTCCTTTGCTCGGGATGCTGACTGCCACCTTTGGGAAGGGCAGGCCAGGGTGTGCTCTCTGCTTAAAATTTGGGGGATTCACAGAATCACTGGGTTGGAAGAGACCTCAAAGATCATAAAGTCCAACCCACTCCAACACCTCAACTAAACCCTGGCCCCCAGTGCCACATCCAGGCTTTGTTAAACGCCCCCAGGGATGGTGACTGCACCACCTCCCCGGGCAGCCATCCCAGAACTTTATCACCCTTTCTGTGAAAAACTTCTGGCCAAGCCTCTGCAAAACCAGCCCAGGTGGGAGTAAGGCAGGGACAAGCACTGCTGAGTGTGTATGGATGGGGACATCTCCAAGAGCTCAGCTCCTAAAGAGCCCAGAGATGTGGGAGAGGTGGGAATGAGGGCTCCTGACCCAGGCATGGACAACATCCAAGCCCCGGAGGGCCGTTCTCACCCCTGACAAGGCAGGAGGAAGGAAGCAGTGCCTGTGCCTGTGCAGGGCAGGAAGGGCAGCAGGAGCCGAGCAGACTGCCTGTCGCTCCCTCCTGCTTCCTCCCTGCCTGCCTGGAGCACAGCCTGCAGGGACACAGCCTGCAGGGACACAGCCTGCAGGGACACAGCCCCACACGGCCAAGGGTTTGGTGTTTTGCTCCATGGAACTGGCTGAAGAGGGCTGGCTGGTTTATGTGAGGTTTGAAACGCTGCAGATCCTGTGGGAGGGAAGGGGTTTGGTCTCCTGGCTTTGCACAAAGCACAAAATTCCTTCCCAACACAAGAGTCTGACATGAGCAACACTGCTGCTGACTGCAGGTGTGTGAGGAGATGCTGCTTCAATGCCTTACCTCACTGCCCCTCTGCACTGACAGGCTGCTTGTAGCTCTCTAAAATAAAAAAAAATATTTTTAATCCACATAATGGATATTAATCCACATAACCCATGGAATGGGACACACAGCCCCTTCTGCACGGTGCTGCTGGGGGCACAGTGGTGCTAAGGACTGTGGACCACTGTGGGAAAGCAAAAAGTACAAAATTTCTCTTGGGTTTGGCAAAAAGCACACAATTCCTTCCCAGTAGAGGACTCTGACATGAGCAACACTGCTGCTGACTGCAGGTGTGTGAGGAGATGCTGCTTGAATGCCTTGCCTCACTTCCTCTGCATTGAGAAGGCTGCTTTTAGCTCTCTAAAAGAAAAAAAATAATATTTTTAATCCACATAACCCATGGAATGGGACACACAGCACCTTCTGCACGGTGCTGCTGGTGGCACAGTGGTGCTAAGGACTGTGGACCACTGTGGGAAAGCAAAAAGCACAAAATTTCTCTTGGGTTTGGCAAAAAGCACAAAATTTCTCTTGGGTTTGACATAAAGCACAACGTTTCTCTTGAGTTTGGCAAAAAGCACAAAATTCCTTCCCAATAGAGGAGTCTGACATGAGCAACACTGCTGCTGAGTGCGCTGTGCTGAGAGCAGAGTGTGGGGTCAGCAGTCCTGAGAGCCCTTCTGGAGTGCTGGGCTCCAAGGACGGGGTGCCAAGGATGTGAAAAATGCCAGTTGCTTGCTTTTAACATTTTAGAAGTTTAATAGGAATGAAATGGTTATAAAAATGGCAATGTAATTAGAGGAATAAAAATTTGGACAATTGAGATTAGGACAAGACAATAAAAATTAAAGAGTTAGGGACAGTACCAGGCAAAATAAACCCAAAAAAGGTCACAGGTTAACAGAGGATTAACCCTTAAAAACAACAGCCTGTTGCATATTCATACATCTCATACATGGTGCATAAATTCCATTCAAACCAAGGATTCTGGCTGGTCACTGTCACCTTCTTCCTCTTAATCCTTCAGGGCTGAGCGAGGTGGGAAGATGTTAATTTCTTCTGATAATGGAGCAATAAATTCTCTTTCTCTGAAAGATTTAGGAGTCCTGTGGCTGCTGTCTGGTGCAAGTACCTCATTCCTTTTTTAAAAATATCCCATATACATAGTTTCTATTTTAACACTATAACCTAAAACTGTATTTAATAAGAAAATTAATACAGCATAACTTCCTAATATAGCACAGATAATAACAATAATTTTAATATTTGCGAAAAGCCAATCCTAAAATACACATTTTTCACAAAGGAGATGCAGCCAGACTGTGCTCGGGTCTGCCAGCCACCAGGAGGTGAAAACATGGGAGGGAAAGGATGGGAATCAAGGCAGAGAAGCTCCAGCTGAACAGAAGGAAGAACTTTTCAGTGTGGGAGAGACCAGGTGATGAAGAGTGTGCCCGGGAGGCCGCGGAGTGTGTACGGACACAGCCCTGCGGTGAGAGGGGAGGCGGCACTGACCCACCCCGTGCGGGCAGAGCTCCCCGGGCAGAGCCGGGACAATGCCGGGACAGGGCCGGGACCAGGCCGCGCCCCTGCCCTCAGCCGCGCCGCCATCATGGCCTGACGTCACCGGCCCCGCCCACCCCGCGCGGAGGGGGCGTGGCTGTGTGGGCGTGGCCCGATGGAGGGGGCGTGGCCGGGCGGCGCGCGGCGGCGGCAGCGCCATGTCGATGGAGGACCCCTTCTTCGTGGTGAAGGGGTGAGCGCCGCGGGGCTCCGCCGGCCCGGGGGCAGCGCCGGTCCCGGGGGCACCGCCGGCTCGGGGGCACCGCCCCCTGCTGAGGGCCGGGCCGGGCCCCGCGGGCCGGGGGATGGATGTGCGCTCAGGGGGCGGCTGCCCGGCCTCCGCGGGCTCCGTGAGGGGCCCCGGCCGCGGCTGCAGGTGCGGCTCGGGGCAGAGCGGGGCTGGGGCTGGACAAGGGGGAGAGGAGCAGGGAGCGAGCTGGGGGACAAACAATGGCCGTGAGAGGAAGAGAACGCAGGGAAATGCCAGCTGAAGGTGGCCAGAGGAAAGTTGTCATTAATAGGGTGGAAGGAGCTCTGTTGGAGGGTCCAGTGGAGGGCACAAAGATGGTTTGGGGTCTGGAGCATCTCTGGTGAGGAGAGGCTGCAGGAGCTGGGCCTGTTTAGTCCAGAGGGGATCTCATCAGTCCGTGTAAACATCTCTAAGGCATGTCAGGAGGATGGTGCCAGACCCTTGGCAGCAACAGGGCGAGGAGCAGTGGCCATAAACTAAAACACAAGAAGTTCCACCTCAAGGTGAGGAAGCACTTCTTTACAGTGAGGGTGGCAGAGCGCTGGAAAAGGCTTCCTAGGGAGGCCATGGAGTTTGCTGGAGACATCCCAAACCCATCTGGAGGTATCCCTGCTCTAGGTGATGGTGCCTTGACAGAGGCTCTGGACTGCATGATCCACAGAGGTCCCTTCCAACCCCAGCAATTATTCTGTGAGAGCAGCTCCATCACTAAACACTGCCCTCGGGCCACCTTCGGCTTGTGCTGGGGGCTGGTCTTCTGCCCCTTGTCACAGCAAAACAGCCCTGAGGAGCAGCAGGGGGCTCCTGGAGGGGTGCTGGGGGGAGCTTCGAGGAGAAGAAGTGTGGGGAAGGACAGTGGTGCAGCAGGGAAGGTGAATCCCTTTCCCAGGATAAACTGTGCTGAGAGGAAGGTGTAGGAGTCGCCATGGGTGGGGAGCAAACGTCCTGTCAAACTTTCCAGAGATGTTCCTGCGGCGTGTGGGGAAGGGCAGGGAGGGGAAGGGGGATGTGCTGCCGCTCCCACAGGTAATTATTACCTGCCAGGTCCGAGGGGCTGCTGTGCTGCAGCCACCAGAACTGCTGCCTGTTTGCTTTCCTGGTGTCTGGAGCTCCTCCCATAGGGGACACCCAGCTCTGCCTTGCATTCTTGCTGTTGGGGACTTCCACAAGTGTGGAAAAAAACAAAACAACAAAAAAAACCAGCCAAACAAAACCAAAACTTGTGCTGGCAAGTAGAGGAGGGAATGAAGTTTTCAGATGCTCAGTGCTGGCTTTGGGGCACTCAGAGTGGCAGACTGGGAGCTGTAGGTGGAGAAGAGCAGGGACATGCATCAGAGTGCTGAGAACCTGCAGCTTGGACAGCAACTGCAGGGCTTCAGGCCCTGGGGGAACTTAGAGAGCTGCACTCCTGGCACCTCAGTGCATCTGCCCTGCTTTCCTTCCCTGGGCTGAAACATACACTCAAGCTCATGGTGGGCACAGTCTGATCTCATCCCAGCTCCCTGTGAACCTGGGGGAGCAGTTCCCAGCTCAGGACTGCAGAGTTTGTAAATGCAGGTAACCCCACTGAGGGTCTGTGACCCGAATTCACAAACCTGCTTGCCCCAAACCAGGCTGTCAGCACTGCCTTCCCCTGCTGTGAGTGCACTCATCCCCAAAAGAGCTTAGAGCAGCAGAAAAAACTTGTGCTTCCTAAGCCAGCATGGTAGGCCTGTGTGTTTTTTCAAATGCTGGATTAAAATAAACAGTTCTGCACTCACCAATCTGCCTGGCTGTGGAGTGGGGCAGTTCCTGTAACTCTGTGTGCCCTTGGGGTATCTTACATGGGTAGTTAAGGGCCTGGAGAGGAAAACTGTTGGGAGAGGAATGCCAAGTGTGGATTGCCAAAGAGCTGCCTTGTTCAGACCCTCTGCCCTGGCTTGCCTGGGTGACACCCAGCAGCTCCCCCTGAAGAAATATGTCCCTTCATGAGTTGCTTCATGCTGCAGAGAGGTGCAGGGCAAATCCTTATTTCACAAAACAAACATGGAGTTGTTGGAAGGAGACGTGGCTGGGAGGAAGCTGTGGCAGCCCTGCTGGGCTGGACACGGGGCTGTCCCAGTGTCACTGCTGCAGGGCAGCTGGTGGTAATTCTTGGCTTCTCTTCCCTTCCTGCTGGCTGCAGGGAGGTGCAGAAAGCTGTGAACACTGCCCAGGGGCTCTTCCAGAGGTGGACAGAGCTCTTGCAAGATCCCTCCATCGCCACAAGAGAAGAAATCGACTGGACCACCAATGAGCTCAGGAACAACCTGCGGAGCATCGAGTGGGACCTGGAGGACCTGGATGAAACCATTAGTATCCTTTTTGTGGCCCTTTGGAGGTAGCTGCAGGTTGTACTAAATAGCCAAGCCCCAGTGCTTGTCACTCTTGGCAAAAATCAGGACTGCCTGGGATTGAATTTTGTGTTCACATTGGCTTTTCTCAAACTGCAAATGAGAAATTAAGTCAAGGATTTTCCTTTTGTCTCCCTTTTTGCAAGCTATATTCTAAGGGGCTTTGTTCTAAAAAGCATACTGTGTTGTGTGAATCTGGATTTCTGTGGGGTCAGTTCATTCTCCAGGCTGCCTTCCAGAAATACTCCTTTTCCCTTGTGTTCCTCTGAGTGCTCCTGAAATCTCTGCACAGCATCACAGAACCAAAAAAACCACGTGGAAAAGAGAAACCTTGTGTGTGTGCGTGCACTGCCGTGTCTCCTTTTCCATCCAGCCTGCTGCTCTTTGCTGATCCCATTTTGGGACCAGGCCCACCACCACAGTGGCCCCCTGGCACCCTGGGGGTTTGTGTGTCCCTGTGTGTACCCAGCCCTGCTTCCAGGGACTCCTTGACTCGGTGCCCAGGCATCGTGGAGGCAAACCCGCGGAAATTCAACCTCGATGCCACAGAGCTGGGAATCCGCAAAGCCTTCATCACCAGCACGCGGCAGGTGGTCAGGGTAAGGAGCCTGCCCTGGGGCTCAGGGCCTGGGGGGATTGGTGGGTAAAAAAGGACATCTTGGGGCTGTTCTGTGCTGGGCTGGAGCGCAGAGAGTGAACCTGCTACCTGCTGAGTCTCAGGCTTCCTCCTCTTCCCCGTGCGTTCCCTCCTGGAGCTGCCCAGAAGGGTTTGGGGGTGCAGGTGCCCCACGGAATTCCCTCCTTTTATGCTGCTGACCCTTGAAGTCCTCACACTGCTCTGGCAGCAGTGAGCTGGGAGCCTGTGGTGGCAGGAGGAAGAGTGAAGACCCAGCTGCAATGTGGAGCCTCCCTTCAGAGTTGAGGGAAATCTCTACAGTCCTGAGCGTTTGTAGCACTGGTTTTCAGCAGCAGGGAGACCACTTTGAGCACTGCCAGATGGTTAAAGCCTGCTGTTATTGACATGGTGACTTCCACTTCCTACCCCTGCGAAATAGTCCAAACAACCACTGGATTTATTTTTAACTTGAGGAAGATTTTTTTTTAGTTTAGGCTTACGCTTGAGAAGTAAAAAGGGGATTGTAACAACTTGGTGGTAACAAATAGAGAAGAAACATCTTTCCAAAAGCATCACTGCCTGGTAACAAGCTGCTAGTTAGGAACTTTCTGTCTATTAATAGCTACACTGAGGTTCTGCTGCCCCTCATGACTCTGATGTTCCTGCTTCACAAAATGCACTGGTGTGGCTGGCAGCAAGCCTGTTGCCCCACCTGCAGTCCTGTGGTCTGGATGCAGTTCCTAAGGCTTGCTGCCTGGGAACTGATCCCAAAACCACACTGGCCCCAGGTAGCAGGCATGTGCTTGCTGCCTTGTCCTCAGTGTAGTCCGCTCCCTAATGGGCAGGATCAGGCAAGCCTGCTCTCTGGTCCTCTCCTCCTGGCTGAAAAATGCTGGGGAATGGCTTTTGGAGCAGTGTCTCCTACTGGGAAATGAAATTTGTAAGTGGCCCTGTGCAGCTGGCCTCCAGTTTCCATGGGGGAAATTTGTGATGCAGACAGTGAGAGTTAACCAAGTGGGATGTGATGGTGCTCTTCAGTGATGTGTTGCACATCTCTGAGCAGTAAAACACATCTGGATCCTCTGGTGGCATCAGAACTGCTGGTGGATCTGCCAGATGACGTTGACTGCTTGCTAATTTATAAAAACCAGGTTATGTTACATTGTGATGGGGAGCTTTCTGTGGTTAGTGACCTTCTGCAGGAACTCCACAGCAAAAATTCATTGGTAGGAGGGAACATTGACACAGTCAGAGGGGATGGGCACAGGACAGGAAATCTGCCTTCTACTGTGGAATATAAAACCAGATGCAGCTGGGAATGAAGCACAGGAGGTTATAGGCTTCAAGGCCTTGACAAACACTTCCTTACATTCTGTCAACAGGAACATTCTTTTATTGTACAAATCAATGTGGTTCTGGTTATAGTGGAGAAAAATGAGTAGTAAATGAGGAATATTTTCAAAATACCCCAATGCTGTTGATTCCAGTATTAGTATAACAATGAAATTTCTACAGTATGTTTCCAGACTCTTCAAAAGTGTGGGTTTTCAAAGAAAATCTCCCTTCCCTCTTTCCCCCTTGTAGAAGCTTTGCGGGGTATAAACAGCCCTGAATTTGCCTGTCATCTCAAATCCAATGCTCACATGCTCCTTCTTTTGTTGAATGAACAGGACATGAAGGATCAGATGTCAAACTCATCCATGCAAGCACTGGCTGAAAGAAAAAACAGGCAGGTGAGAGCCAGAAGGGGCAATGTATTTCTGCTACAATGTCTATCCTGTGTGGAGTCCCTCCCCTTACAATCCTTGGGTGTGGGAAGGGGCTCCCAGGCTGCAGCCAGGCTGTGTTTGAGCTGTGTCCATTTGGCTGCCCTGGGAGAGCTGGTTCTCACAGGCTGCCAGCCTCTCCCAAGCCTCTCTCAGAGCAGTAAGTCAGCACTCACCATCTGTCTTCAGAGCTGGTTTACAGCTGTCAGCATTGCGCCATCCCATGGAAAGGGAAATCTCCCTCCTCCTCCTCGGGGGGAAGCAGCTCAGAATCCATGTCAGTGAATGTAATCCTGCACTCTGCTGGATTTAGGAGCCAAGATGGTGCAATATCCTTTCATGCAGCTCCTTCTCGTAATAGCCGTGTAAGAAAATGGAAGGAGCTCCAGGAGTCTGGTGTTGTCTGCACTTGTAATCTAAGGAATAGAAATAGATGCAGCTCGTGCTGCTTCCTGGCTGATGGAGAGGCTGTAAGGAGATACTGCAGCTGACTTCCAGACCCACTCCAGTAAAAGCTGGTGTGTGCTTCATACACTTAATTGTCTGTACTGCATCAGCCTCACCACACGTGGCAAAAACAACAAACCGGGAAGCACAGAACTCATTCCTGAGCTTGTCACAGGGTTAATTGACATGCTTGGCAAACACTCCCAGCAACAAAGTCCCTGACACCCTTGCTCAAACAAGTCTGTAGCTTTCCCTGCGATTTGCTGCTTTCCTTTGCATGAGGTTCCTGAGAGCTGCAGGAGATCATATGGCCCAGCTCACACAGTGACATCTGGTCAGGAAAATCAACTTCCCCTTGCTGCCTTCCTCTCCCTTCCCAGCCCCTCACCTTCATTCCAGACTGCAAGGCTTGTGCTGGGCTTTGTGTCTGAGGGGCTGGCTGGCAGTGACCTGACCCTCACAGCCCAGGCTGCCAAACAGGCCTTTTCTATTGAAGCTGCAGGCAAAGCTAGAGCACTGCATTAAATAAAAAGGAGCTGCCCTTGCCACAAACTGGAGGGACCAGGAGCTTGCTCAGTGTCTTGGGGGCAGAAAAAGCCAGATGTCCTGCTGGCTTCCTGCATGGTCAGTCTGTCAGCTTTCCTCACCCCTCCTTGAACCTTATAAGTCAGATGCACCCTAGACACAGTCTGGTTTTCAGCCTGACAGAGCAGCCTGGTCATTGTCTTGCTGTTCTTCACAAATACTCATCCTGCCCACAACCAGCAGCTGCAGGATGGTCTCATTACAGGTCAGCCTGGCTTCCACACTGGAGGGCAGAGTCCCTAACCCTTCCCTAGTGCTGCAGGGTGCAGCTCATGTGCAGGTCATGTTCATTCTCCAGCATCTGTCGCTTGGGTTATTCCCCTTTCAGACATATTTGGCTGGAGAACACATCTCTGCAGGCTTTGCATGAGTTTATCTGTTCAGGTTGTAGGCAGGTAGCAAGAGTGACTTTGCTGGCAGCTGAAGAGCCTGCTGGAGAGACAGGCAGCCTGGATCACAGAACACAAGCATACAGCACTGCTCTGGTTATACATTGCATTATTTTACTGTCAGCTCAACTGGTTCAGTACTTTATCCAGACCCTCTTAGGCCCCTGTCATTAGCAGCAGAGTGCTCAGATGGAGCTGTACATCTGTTAACACAGCATACCCAGACACTTTCCCAGCTCTCATGTCCTAGCACACAGTGCTGCCTGTTGAGCAGGCCTCTGCCAGTCCTTTGTGCTGTGCAGGCCTCCTGCACACACTGCCAGTCGGCCACACTCCAGCTCTCCTGCTGCTGGAGAGGCATCTCTGCAATTCCAGGCTGCAGAGGCTTCCCAGGCTGGCATTTTGGCTCTGTGTTGGTTTAGTTCATGACAGCACTTTGGCTGAGTAGCAGCAGAGCAGGAGGGAAGGGATGCTGTGTGCGTGTGTACACGAGCGTTGCCTTGTCTGCCTTCCCACCTCACCCTGCAGACGGGCTGTGAGCAGACACAAGGGTGTTGCTAAGAGCTCTCTGCATCTGTTCAGGCACTGCTGGGAGAGAGTGGGAGTCAGAGTTGGAGCTCTGGACCTGACAAGTACAGCCGTCTGGACCGGGAGCTGCAATTAGCAAATTCACATTTCATCGAGGAGCAGCAAGCTCAACAACAGGTAAGGCAGCTGGCATCACAGACTCAATAGCTTTGCTTGCCAAATGGGTGCCAGGGGGGCTGGTCTGGCTCCAGGAGCCTGACAGTCCTCCTCTTTGCTTGTGGCATGTGTCTGTGCCTGCATGTCCTGTGCAGCACAGCTTTGGGTGATCTTGGCACAAGGTTCTAACCCTGGAGGTGTGGGGCTTCTGCATTTAGGAGGCAGTTGGCACAATCTGGAAGGTGTAGCACACTAGGATTTAATAGTGCAAGGATTGTTGAAATCCTTGGAAGAGTAGAAACACTGCAAAAAGAAAAGGGCCCATTTGTCTTATGCAACTTCCCCTGGTTAAAAAATGTTTGGTGTTGTTTGTGTGCATCTCCCATCAGAGCGGGCTGGGGGCAGGAGCACGCGCCTGCTTCCTTTTCCTGCTTTTGTCACCGTGAGATCAGTGAGAAGGGCTGTGTGAGGCCTTGGGAGAACCCCTGGAGAGGCACTTCCCAGCTGCACTTCCAGCTGACAGGGGAGTTTGCCTGGAGAAGTGCCCAGGCCAGGCACAGCCTGGAGAACTGCAGGGCCTTGACACAGGCAGTGACTTGGAGGTGGCAGACTCTGCTGAAGCTCCTGGCCCATGGTGCCACCTCGGCTTCCAGACACGTTTTACCTACTGACTCCAGGGGGATAAATAGCTTCAGAAATAGGTAACTGGGGTAAAGCTAATCCTTAGCGTGACTGTGCCCTGAAAATGACTTAAAACAGCAGCAGACTTATTCCTTTGGCACATTCAGAGCCTGGCTGGCTATTTTTAGCTGTAGAAGCTGCAACAGCCTTCTGCTTGCATTAACCCCTTGTTAGCTGCAGCACATTCCAGGTGGCATTTCCCAGGCACAGCATCAGTGTGCCTCCCTGCCTGCTCACCTTGCCAAGGTTTTGATGACCTTTGGAGCTTTCCAAAGTCACTTTAGCTGTGCATGCAGCGTGGATGAGCTGAGGCTGGATTTGCAGGGATGTCTGGAGGCTGCAGCCCGCTGTGCCGTGGGGATGCCATGCCGTGGAGTCTTTCCCTGGTTGTCTCCTCTCCAGCATTTCTCAGGAATGCAGTCCTCATTCCTGGTGGCTTAGGTCTGAGCCCAGGTCTCACAGCTGATGTTGGCTGAGCAGCAAGTGCCTGTCCAGTGGATGGGCTGGCTCCAAGCCAGCTGCAGGCAGCAGATCTGTAATTGCCCACTTCTCTTCTCTTCTGTTTGGCCCCAGCTGATTGTGGAGCAGCAGGATGAGCAGTTGGAGCTGGTCTCTGGCAGCATCGGGGTGCTCAAGAACATGTCCCAGCGCATTGGCGGGGAGCTGGAAGAGCAAGCAGTGTAAGTGTGGTGGCAAAAACCTGGCACAGGGCTGGCTGCAACATGGCTGGGTGTCCTCACACATCTGTCTGCCTCTGGTAGAGCCTGGAGTTCACTGGTCCCTCAGGCAGCCTCTCCCTGCCAGCCTGTGGGAAGCATTTCGTACTGCAATCTGCAAGGATCCCACTGCAACCTCCTTCCTTTAGAAGCCTGCATCTAGGGCAGGCCTGACTGCCACCTCACCTTTCCTCTCCTTTTCACACACTCCCCCTCAGGCAGCCAGCAGATAAGGGAGGGAGGTGCTGAGCAATGCAGATGCTGGCTACTTCTCCACTCTGCAGGGTTTGTGCTGCCCCTGGACAGCTGCTGGGGCCAGGAGCTCTCAGCTGTGCCCTGAAACGCACAGCACAGAGCTGCTCTTCATCACTGGAGTTAAAAATAACCCTCACCCACGCAAAGGGTTAAAGGGCAGCTCACCAAGTCATTTTGCATCCATCCATTTACATATAAATTAGATTTCTTTCCCAGTTCTTGTCCTTTGCAAACAAGTTCCCAGTTGTGCAGGCTAACAGCAATGCTTCCAGAAAGGCCTGAAGGGCTAAAACCCCTCCTTGTTTGGCTGGTAGGAGTCTGGAGGGCCATGTCCCTTATGAAGTGATTTCATCTTGGATGGAGAGGAGGAACTTTCAAGCTCCCTCCTGTGTGAAGGTGTGCAGCATGAGAATCCTCTGCCCTCACAGAGGAGATTGGTGTGGTGCGTCTGTTTCTAGATCATCACACTTGCACGATTAGCTCTTAACTACCACAGTGAGGTTTTCCCCACTGAATGAAGGTTTAACAAGTGCCCTGGCACTCCAAATGAAGTAGTCTGTCCTTTTAAATGCATTAAGCTTTAAAGTCCCACTGGCTGGAGACAATTGGATTAGTACCTTGACTCTGGATGCGCACTGGCGTTGACAAAGCATGGATTCAGGAAGGCTTTCAGATCCATTACAGTCACTGTGTGGAGGAAGTAAAAGGGTAACTTCCATGCAGAGCTTGAAAAGCACCTTAAAAGCAACTGCAGATCTCATTCCCACTTGAGACATGACTGAAACAAGATTTTAGTTTAAACTGCAAGCCCTGAACAAGAAAAGGGATTTAAAGCCCAAGCTGATACGTAGATGCTAATCACAGATTATAAATGAGACTTTCCTTTTTTAAGGAGGAAGCCCCTCCCCCACTCCTCACCTTGCAGATGTGTGTAGAGTTCAGCCACAAACACCCAGGGAGGATCAGTCTGGCAGGAATCCCGAGTTACTTCCCACCAAAGCAGAGCTGCTGTTTCAGCAGCTTTTCCCCCTCCCTTGGGTGCTTCCAGGAGAGGAGGCCACATTCATTTTGTCTGCCAGGGTGTGATACTCTGCTCACATCAGTGTTTTGATCCACATGTGTGAACATGGTGCACAATTCCCAAGGGATGTGCCACGTGCTGAGCAGTGCCCTGCTTCTGTGTCCTCAGGATGCTGGATGACTTCTCCCACGAGCTGGACAGCACTCAGTCACGCCTTGACAACGTCATGAAGAAGCTCGCCAAAGTGTCTCACATGACGAGTGGTAGGTCCTGGGAAGTGGGATCCAGTCCTGGAAAGGGAGACACAAGCCCTTGGATCTTCAGGCTGGGACACTGTGCTCCCACCCACCCACCCAGGCAAGGGGAGGGAGCAGCTCTCAGTTCTTGAAAGAAGGGGAAAGTTTCCAAGCCCGGCAGCTGCTCCTGCCCAGACACTGCTCTGCTGCCTGTCCCTCCCTTTGTTTTATTTACAGATGCCTTTCTATTTATGCTGCTGCTGCTGGGAAAATCCCCCTCTAGCTGGTGGGAGGGGAAGCTCTGCAGCCTCCTGCTCTGCTGCAGTTTCCCGGGCTGCCTGTGGAACAAAAGCTGTCAAGGTGCCATTAAACACCCGCCACGTGTGTGGCTTGCCCCGCACCAGAATGCCTGCAGCAATCTCCTTCCCAAATCCCACCTGCCCTGGGGCTCCTGCTGCCTGCAGGCTGTTGTGGGTCCCATCTCTCTCAGCTGGTGGAGGAAAGAGCTGAATTCTGTGCTGCAGCCACAGAAAAGTCCTTATAAGGCTGTGCCTGAAGCCGGGGCGCTGCGGGCAGAGCAAACAGGAAGCCTGGCCTGGCTGCCGGGAAGTCCCACGCTGCCACTGCCTCTGAGCCTGGCACCGTGCCCAGCAGTGCCTCCTCACACCCCTCTCCCCCGGGTGCTCAGGAGAGCAGCAGCCTGTCAGGAGGAAAAGCATTCCTGCTCTGCAGGATTAGGCTGTCCGAGGGATTTATGAGGTGGTGGGAATACAGCCCTAGAGAGACCTCTTGGAGTGCTGACAGTGCTCTTTGGGTCAGCAGTAGCTCTGCAGCAGCACAAACCCTGTGTCTCTGCCCTTTCCTCTGGGAAAACCCATGGATCTCTGCAGAGTGTTTCTGAGTGTTGTGAAAGAGCTGGAATTCCTGCTGGAATCACCTATGCCAGGGAGAGTGGGAGGGCTCTTTCTGGGGTAGCTACTGTGTCTAGGAGTTGAGGGGGTGCCAGCAGCCCTGTCCCACTGCTGCACCATCATCTCATCATCATCATCATCTCAGGGGGAATGTGGTGTTGAGCCAATGAGGTGTAGAGATGCCCAGGGAAACCTGATTCCTGGCCCTGTCCTAAGGGAAGCCTCCACAATCTCTTCCTGGCAGAGCTCCTCAGGGCAGCTTTCACCAGATCCCTTCTTGTTCCTCTGGCAAACAGATTACTCCACGAATGAACAGCAAACACAGCAGCTCTCTGCTTGTTCTCCCAATTGCTTTTGAGCCAGCTTTTCAAAGCTGTTTGAACTTGGTTGGGAAGAAGCCTCAGAATTCCCACAGCTGTTCCCAAACCCCAGTGTGTCCTGGAGGAGAATGCCTCACTGCAATATTCAGCGCCACAGCTTTTCTCCCACAGGAACTGTTGTTTCAGCTTTTTGTAGCTTAAGCTTGAATTTGGTTCCTAGCAGAACCAAATTTTCCTTCCCCACTAAAGCAGGAAGACTGATGCTTCCTTTTCTTTCCAGATCGACGGCAGTGGTGTGCAATTGTTGTCCTCTTCGTCATCTTGCTAGTGGTGCTCATCCTGTTTTTTGTCCTGTGATGACAAAAACTGAACTTCCTGGGACGCCCCCTCCCCGCCCCCTGGCCCCGGCAGCGCGGGGAAATGAAACTCTCCCGATTTCCGTCCGCCCACAGCGATCCCGGCAGGAACCCCCGCACCCAGCTCTCACCATCCTGCTCCAGGCCTGCGGCTCGGCGTCCCCCCGGCCCCGGGGAGAGGGGGCAGCGCTGGAGCTGCCTCTCCCCTGCTGCGCTGCAGTCTGGATCCATGGAGCTGGAGGGGACCTGAGCCCCGCGCTGCCACCGCTGCAGGTAGGAGCCGTGAGAGATAGATGGACACAGCAGCGAGCCCTGGGGACGATGGGACGGGGGAGGAGTTACTGAATTCACCGAGCATCACAAACTGCGCTGCCAGTGCCAGCCTCAGGCATTACTGGGAACGGTGAAACCCCCCAAGCCGCAGCGAGGGAGGGGAGCCCTGGCCCTGCTCCCCGTGCCCCTCCCTGCCTCCTGTGGGCGGGCTCTGTAGCAGCAGTTCACTGCCGAGAGAGCACGGTGAGTCCTGCCAGAGCTTTCCTGCCCTCTCCCCGGGCAGAGGGCAGAGCTGTAGGGTCTCATGTCCTGCCATCGGCCACCCAGGCCCCCTCAGACACCCCAGAGCTTCAAACCTGGGGTGCTGCACTCCGAGCGCTGGCAATCAGCTGTGAGCCAGAGAGGGAGAGTCTTGAAGCTTTTAAACTTGCCTCCCTCACTATACAGGCCTCTAAAGCTCATTGACTGATGCTTTCTTTGCCCTTGTATAACTGAGTCTCTGCTTCTGTTTAACAGCTGCTTCTCTTTGGCAAGTGATTTGCCAAGTCTAAAATAACTTATTTTTTTTAAGAAAAAAAACTTTAAAGATTTTTTTGATGACCATTAGAGCCACGTTCTCTCTGCGGGTGCACGACACACATGACCAGAGGAACAGTGCTCAGTGATGTATTTTAAGTGTACATGAACTTGTAAATAGGATGTCTTAATTTTTCCCAACCGCTATTTTTTGGACGCCTCCGTTGTAAGCAACCAAAAGGCAGGAGATTCGAAGCTAGGATCATGTTTCCATATTCCTTCCCAGTCCTTTTGTCACCTCCCAGTTGTTTGTCACTCCAGTTGTCTCAGCAGTGTTGGATTCCCTGCAGGGAATGTGGAGTAGCCAGGTGGGCAGTACCAAAAATGTGGTGAAAAAAGCTCACCTGGGCAGAGGAACGGGCAGAGGGACCGTGCTGCAAGCACCAATTGTGGGATGGGGGGTGACTCTTGAGGAAAGCAAAAACGGTTTCTTACTCCAGTCTGCTCCCATATTTTGAGTTGCAAACATGAAAAGACTCAGCACAGCCTGGCTTATGGCTCCCAGATGGGGCTGGGGGAGGAAGTTAATTGGCACTGACGCAAAGACTTCTGCTGAAATTGCAAATCACCCCCAAAATCATCCCCCCCCCGCCGCCTTAGAATCTTGCCACCGCACGGCTTTACCTCCGGAACTGAACACTCCTCCCCCCGCCGCCTTCGCGGCTCCCTCCGAGGTCTGCTGGGCCCCCCTGTCCCTCCCGCAGGCGCTGCCTGCACAGCCGGCGGCTCCGTGCCTTCCGCAGCCGGGCGGGGCCGGACGGAGCCTCCCGGGATGGATCCTCCCCGGACGGAGCCTCCCGGGATGGAGCCTCCCCGGACGGAGCCTCCCCGCCTTCCGCAGCCGGGCGGGGCCGGACGGAGCCTCCCGGGATGGATCCTCCCCGGACGGAGCCTCCCCGCCCGCGCCCGGCTGCTCCTCAGTAACGCACACGTGGTGCCTCGGCGCCCACCCGCACTCCCGAGTCCAGTGGCTCCTTATCCTTGCAGAGCACCCCTGCAGGGCATAGGTGGGGTCTGCTTTCCGGGGCTGGCTGTAGCACTGTCCGTGCCACTCCGTGGGTCTGTAGCTCTCCAGGAGCAGTTCCCAGCAGCACGGGTCTGGGCAGGGAGCAGTGCTCGCTGCTGGCTGCTGTTTGCACACCTCTGATCCCCGTGTTAATTCCAGCGTGTTTGTGCATCCTTCGGGAATGACTCCCATGTAGGAGGGCTCCTTTGGTAGTCCAGGGGGTGGCCCAGCTGCTGACATCACCTCAAGCCACCCGAGTGTCTCTGGTCCCTTTCCTCGTGTACATTTGCTTTTCTGTCGCTGGTGGTGCCCTTCCCTTTAACACTAAATAAAGGTGCAGCAGCGTAGATCTCCACTCCTCCTTGCCTGACTCTTGCTCCCGGAACAAGCTCGGGGTCTCCTGGCAGCAGGGAGTGGGAAAAGCTCTCCCACCAGCATTTGCCAGGCATCACCATCCTGGTTTTTGAGGCATAAGCAGCATCTGCAGTTTCTGGGGTCACCTCAGCATTGTGGGCAGCTGTGCCCAGATGTGGAGCACCACTGTGCAGAGGGCAGCCATTGCTGCTGGAAACACTCCAAGGATGTGTTTTGCCTTCCATGGCTGGAAAAAAGAGCCCCTCAAAATCCCCAAGGAGCCCTGCAGGTGGCTGAGCCCCCCTGCCTACCTGCCCAGGGCCCCCAAGGCCACAAACGCCACCCCAACCCCTCCATGCCACAAGCCAAGGGCACTGTTTTGTTATTGCAGAGATGTATTTTTGGGTTTCAGTTTGAAATAACTTAAAAGAACCTCACCAGCCCTCGAGCACAAGGTGGCAGTGCTGGCAGGAAGCCCTGTGTCTCCTGGGGTCATGGAGATGGCGTGTCCCCATGCTGGTCACCCCAGTGCCCAGCAGGACAGGCCCACCCGGCTCTGTTGGGGCCAGGCTGTCCCCTGTCCCTCACACCTGGGCAGCTCCTGCAGACTCTGGGGGGTCCTTGGTCCCACGCTCTCCCAGGGGCACAAAGAAAGCCACTGCAGTGGAGCCGGGCAGGTCCTGGCGCTGCGAGCCAGCTTGGTCCATGCCATGCCATTCTGCAGCACCCTGGGGCATCACTGGGCCATGCTCCTCCTCCCATCACCGGGACATCCTCCTCCTCTCTTGCCGGCCTGGCGGGAGCCGTGCCAGGCTAGCGCGGCGCCGGGCGCTGCCGGAGCACGCGCAGGGCCAGGCTGTCGGCCTGCAGCAGCAGCTGCCGGATGCGGGCCAGCCCCAGCCCCGAGACGGCCGCGCCGTTGACCTGCAGGATCTCGTCCCCCACGCCCAGGAGCCCCGCGTAGAGCTTGGCCGTGCCAGCATCCGCCATCTCCTGCACGTAGACACCTGCGGAGGGAACGGGGATGGGTGAGAGCCCTTCCTGGCCCGGAGCGCCCAGGGGCTGCACAGAAACAGACCTGTGATACACAGCCTTTGGCGTGGGCTGCGTGTCACGAGCCGAGCGCTGAGGGACACACAGGACACATGGCAGCATCCCCCTCCTGCATCACTTCTGCAGCAACGGAGCAACCCCCTGCACCCGTGCCCGAGCTCGCCCTTGGGGTGGGACGAGAGCCGCCACGGAGGGATCAGAGTGTGCCGGAGCTTTGGGATGATCCCACAATACCTGTGTCGGGCCGGCCGTGTCCGGAGGTGACGGAGAAGCCGAAGGCGCCGTGGGGCGGTCGCTGCAGCTCCAGCTGGCTGGTGCCATCGGGGAACACCTCAACCACGCGCCCCACCGCGCGCAGCTGGCCCGGCGCCCCGATGTCCTCCACGCTCAGCGAGCGCTGCGGCCCCGAGCTCCCCTTCCTGTGGGGACAGGGAGCATGGGTGAGCGGGGACAAGGGACGTGCTGGACACCCGGGTGATGCAGCCCAGCACAGCAGCATCCTGGGATGTGCCAGCCCCCATCCTACCTGTCAGCCGTGCTCTGGGGCAGGAGGTAGGCACTGGCACGAGATGCCTTCCCCAGCTGGGGATGCAGGCTCTGGATAGAGGCAGCTTTTTGGGGCTGGCAGAAGGGTGACACCTGGGGAGAAACACCTGGCTGAGATGGGGACAAACACTGCGCAGCACCACGGTGCCGAGGGAGTGGAGGAACTGGGACATCCCATCCCCCTGGAGCATTCCCCAACTCACTGCTGAGGAGGGACAAGCTCCCTTGTCTATTTGCTCTTCCACTACCACCCCTCTCCTTCCTTCCCCCTTCCACTTCCCAGTTGGCTCCGGGGCTTTTCAAACGCAGCAGGTTTGGAGTGGCGCATCCCCCCACGCCCCCTCCAGGCCTGAGCCACAAATCCACACTCAGGAACACTTCATCCCAGCCCAGCATCCTTTCCCCTGTGCCACGCCGGTCTCCCCGCGTGGGGCGATGCCCAAGCTCACCAGCTGCAGCGACTGCAGGGACGGTGACTTCCTGACGCCGGGGCTGCCCTGCGGGGAGCCGCCGGGGGCCGGCAGCTGCTCCATGCTGTAGCAGCGGAAGCGGCCCAGGCGCTGCTTGGTGCTCTGGCTCAGGCTGCACAGGAGCTTCTTCAGCGCCGAGGCCGAAGCGCTGCTGCCCTTGCGGCTCACGGGCCGGCCCGGCTCCCTGCGGGAGAGGCGTGGAGGTCACACACCGAGGGGCTGCGGGACCTGCACCCGCTTCGGCAGCCTTGAGAGCTGCAGCACGGTGAGAGTGACACGTTTGTCACTACCCAAAGTGACCCGAAGGGCTCCCTCCCTGTTTTCTCCGTTATTTCAGGGGTTTGACACATCTCAGAAGTCCCCTGCTCTGCCACAAGGGATCGCATCCTACCAACGGGCTCAGAGGACCCAGCACCACCTTGGAACTCTCCTGCCAGGCTGAGAGAGGCAGCGCCAGGCACAGGGCTGGCAGGATCGCACTTGGAAAGCTGCAGCGCCAGGCACAGGGCTGGCAGGATCGATTTTCCCCAAGGCAGCTGATTTTCCCCACCTGACACCAGCGAAACACCTCTGCTCCAACATGCCCGGCAGAACCAGATGTGGGGAAACGCAGCTCCCCCAAACCCACAGCAACACACGGGCACACTGTAACCCCCACACTGTGGTTTCTGTGAGGTTTTTGGAGCCAGGGAGCTGAACCCAGCAGTGCCCAGCAGGGAAGCTCGGGGCCGCAGGGTTTGGGATGCCGTGGCCGGCCCCGCTCGCTCACCCGTGCACCGCGTTCCCGGCCGGGAGCCGCTGGGGCTGCGCTCCCGACATCCCGGCACCTTCCCCGGCAGGATGAGCAGCCTCCGGGGGCACGGCGGTGACAGCGCTGCCAGCGGGGTGTGACAGTGTCCCTGCAACCACAGTGAGACAGTCACACGCCTGTTTCATCGGGGACCCCCCCAGCACTCCACGCGCGGGTCTCTTACCTCTGCCCGCCCCCGGGGCGTCCTGCCCGTGGGTGTTGTTGCAGTTGTTGGTGGACAAGGCACGGAGGGGGCTCCCCGGGAGCCAGCGGGGGCTGCAGGGACTCCGCCGCCCGGCCGGCCCCGCCGTGCCCCCGGGCTGCGGTGGGGCTGCGCTGCCAGCAGCCGGCTCCGGGCCCCGCACTCCTTGGCTCGGCGCCTGGCGGCTGCCGATGGAGAACAGGGCTTTCCTGCAAGGCACCTGGGCGCAGGCCTTCTTGGTAGGAGGGGGAGCAGGGACGTGGGTGCCTGGGATGGGCGTGCTGGTCCTCAGCTGCGAGGAAGGCTCCAGGGGCTCACTGGGCTGCTGCGGGGGGCGAGCTGCGTTCCCCACTCCCCTGCTGCCCCCCAGGTGTTGATGGGGCTCCCCATCTTCCCGGCTGCTGGTTCTTCCCGGTGCTGGGGGGCAAACCGGCCCCGAGTCCCCGTGCTCGGGGCCCCCGCTGGGCACACCCGATCCTTTCCTGGCCCTGGTCTCCGGCTGCGGGGCAGCGCGGGCAGTTCTGTGCCCGCGGGCGCGGGGGTCCCGGTGCCCCCGCAGGTGGGGGCTGCGCGGTCCTGCCTCCTCGCTGTCCGTCCGGCAGCCGTCCGAGGTGTCGGTGCTCTCCAGGGCCGAGTCCACCTCGTCGATGTAGGTGACATCCCCGATGTAGGTCTCCTTGATCTTCTCGGTGTGGATGCGCTGCCGGGAGGGCAGGATCCACAGCGGGGACCCTCCGGGGCCCAGAGGCCTGATTTTAGGCTCTGTCTGGGCAGCGCCCGTCCCTCTGCTATCCCCCGGAACGCTTCTTTGTGCCGCAGGGCTACTTTTGGCCGGCTCGGGGGCAGCTTGCGTGTCCGTGCCCCGGCCGGCGGCAGCCCCGAGGAAGGAGCCGCAGGCGCTGCACTTGCCCCCGGCCACGAGGTCGCCGCTGCGGGCTTTGGGCTGGCCAGCGCCGTCCCCCGGCTGCCTGCTGCCCGCCGGCTCCGGCGAGGCGATGGCCGAGCCCAGCGCCCGGCGGTGCCGCAGCTGCAGCCGCTCCAGGTACCGCACCTCGGCGTCCCGGGCCGACTCGTCCTCGAAGCGGACGCGGGACGGGGACGGTCCCCGCGGCCGCCGCGGCCGCCCGCAGCTCGAGTCCCCGCTGGACGAGTCGCTCAGGCTCCCTCCGTCCCGCGGGGCGACGCTGGGCCTCCCGCCGGGCTCCCTGCCACGGGGACAGACAGACAGACGTCCTGCAGGCTGCTCGGCAACCCGGGGAGAGCGGGGCGGGAGGGGGAAACGCGGGGCAAGGAGGAAAGTCCGCCCGGGGATCCCTGGCTGTGCACAGCCCTGCTTCCCTCCAGCCTGGAGCCGAAACCCGGAGAGGCTGCGGCACCTCCCGCCTGCCACGGCTCGACCTCCATCGCCCCTTCCGTGCCCGGGGTGTGTGGTTAATCATTCCAGGAACAGCACATCGCACATGACCCGGCGAGACGCCGCTGTGGTGCAGCTCCAGCAGCGAGTCTCGCCCGGGACAACATTCCCCATCAGCTGGGAAACGCCACCCTCCCACCGCCGATACTTCCGTGTGATCATAAACCACAATTACCGAAATGTCTCCCAAGCACCGGGAAAGAGGCCGGGCACATCCAGGGTATGAGCCAGCGGGTCGCATCCCGGCTCCGCACGCGTGCCTGCACACGTGTGCCCGCCCCAAACCCCGTGTGGATGTGCCCCAAACGCGGCTGCGGGCCCGGGGGCTCGGTGGGCACTGACCTGGGCTGCGGGAGGGCGGCGGGCAGCAGCAGGATGTCGTGGCTGGCGCGCAGCGGGTTGGTGCGAGCCTTCATGCGGGCGCGCTGCAGCAGCTGCTTGGCCTGCTCGTGCCGCGGGCTCAGCTCCAGCTCCTGCCCGGCCACCGAGGCCCTGCGGCCCCGCAGCGGGCAGCGGGATTAGGAAAAAATAACAGGGATTAGACGTGCTTTAACAGTGACGACGAGGCTGCTCTGCCCAGGGAGAGCGGGGCTGGGCCGCCACTCAGGGGCGGGCTGGCCGTGCTGGGGATGGCCGGGTGGGCACCCCGCTCCCCCGGTGCCAGGTGAGACTCTGGGCAGGCTGAGCACCCCCACAGCTCGGGCACAGGCTCCCTGTGGACAGGGAAACGAGGGCAGGCATCGCTTGCCACCCCTGTAAATCCCACGGTGGTGGGGAGGCAGGGATGTTTGGGGTGGCCCCCTGACCTGTCTTGCTGCCTTGCCTTCCTTGCAGGGGGTCTTTGCCCGCACCCCCAGCCCCTCTGAGTGCAGGGTGAGGGACCTGACAGCTCTCCCTGCTGCACCACTGCCTTCCTGGTTGGCCACGGCCCTAATCCTCCTGATTAAAATAATCAGCTCAGGCAGTCTCCCCGGGAAGCCTGGCCTTAACCTCTTCAGTGCAGCACGGTGGGCACACGCTGCCCCCAGCAGCACCACGGGAGGCCCAGGGCTCCCCCAGGCTTTGGCTGCCCTGCTCACAGGAGGTGCTGCATCCCCGGCTCTGCCCTGCACCCCCATCACTGATCCAGCTGCCAGAGCAGAGCAGAGGCAGTGACCACCACACTGGGGGGGTCTTTCCCCACTCACTGTTCTGCCCTTTGCAGCCCCCAGCCTCTCACCTGCCTCTGCCACCTCCTTATTTTTAGCCCGTACCTCTAAGGTTTTTCATTAGCCCAACAAGATTACACACTCCTGCCGCCTCGATCCTCTTAAGCACCTGGAGCAAATTTCTGTCCCAACCTCTTCCCCAGCTCCCTTCCTGCCCTGGCAGGGATGTCCTGAGCTCAGACACCAGGGGGACACCCAGCTCCTGTCCCTCGTCCCACCGAAACCCGGCCACACTCCCTCACACTCCCCCACAGCCCTTCCCAGGAGCTGCTTCAAAGGGTGCATTTAAAATACAAGGCTGGGGAGTGGGAAAGAGGGAAATGTCCATTTCTGCCACGCTGGGACTGACCTACCTGCAGCCCTCAGCGTCCTGCAGTGAAACCCCCGAGTCCCAGTCCCCATCGCTCGCTGGCATCTCTGAAACACAGGACAGGACAAGGCATTAGCCTGGCTGGATGGCAGCCCCCACATATCCCACCCCAACACCCTCCACAGGGCTCTCCCAGACATTTGGCTCTGGGAGATTCCAAAGGAGCGGAATGTGGAGCAACAGCACCTGGCTGTAGGTGTGGGACTGTGGGGATGGGGGCACGGGGTCACTGGGGCAGATGCTGTCAAAGGAGAAATGTATTCTCTTTTCTGATGGCAGCTTGCAAAGGGACAGTGACGCCCACAGGCCTGGCGTGTCCCCGAAATTTTCTTGCTCTTGCTTTCAGCAGTGAAATTCCTCAGCAGGACACCAGAGGGGACTGACAGGAATCACCCAGAGCGTCCCGTGAGCACCTCCTACAGCCCGGCGCAGGGGCTGTGGGGCCGCAGGGGAGCTGCACCTGCAGCGGGGAGGCTGCAGGCTGGCCTCATCCCAAAGGTTTTCCTGAAAGAGCCACCACCTTCCCAAAACACCCACCGGGAGCGGCGAGGCCCAGCACCTCCTGCAGCAGCCGCCGGTTCCTCTCCACGCGCTCAGCCAGCGGGAGCCTCTCCCAGCTCCGGGCCGCGGGCACAGAGGGACGGCCCCGCTCCCGCTCCCGCTCCCGCAGCGGGCTCCGCGCCTCTTCATCCAGGGAGGGTCTCTCACGGAGGGAGGCACAGCGCCAGGACCCGCTGCCCTTGTCCGGGGGAAGCTCGGCCCCCCCGGGCACATCTCCCCCGGCTGCCGGGAGCCTCCAGAGCCCCGGGGCGGGCGGGGGCTGCGCCCCGTCCAGCAGCCCGTCCGTCAGGTAGGTGCGGAGCTGCGCCCGCGGCTCCTCCGCGCCCGCCTTCCCCCGCCGCGGCCGCGCCTTCTTGGGCGAGGGGCGCTCGGGGGCGGCCGCGGGGGTGCCCGGCCGCCCGCCCCGCTTCTCCTTCAGCGCCTTCACCTTGCCCTCCAGGACGGCGTGCGGGCCGCGGGCCTCGGGGCGCTCCGGCGGGGCCGGGCTCCGGCCGCGCTGCGGGTGCGGCTTGGGGGGCCGCGGCAGGCGCCGCGCCTCAGCCGGAGGGCTCCCCTCCATGGTTCCTGCAGGGATAAAAGCCAGGGAGTGACCCCTGCGCTGCCCTCGCCCTCCCCAGCGCCCGCGCACCCACACAGGGCATCGCCCCACCTGCCCCGGGGGGTGAAAGCGCGCAGTGCCACCGGTGTGTGCCTGGAGAGGAGGGGGACAGCGAGGTGACAGCGCGAGGCCAGCCATCCACCCAGAGCACCGACAGCCTGCCAGCATCACTGGGGAGCAGGAGGAACGGGGCAGCAGTGAGGGAGCAGGAGGAGTGGGGCAGCAGTGAGGGAGCAGGAGGAGTGGGGCAGCAGTGAGGGAACAGGGGGAATGGGGCAGCAGTGAGGGAGCAGGAGGAGTGGGGCAGCAGTGAGGGAGCAGGAGGAGTGGGGCAGCAGTGAGGGAATGGGGCAGCAGTGAGGGAACAGGGGGAATGGGGCAGCAGTGAGGGAGCAGGAGGAGAGGGGCAGCAGTGAGGGAGTAGAAGGGAATGGGGCAGCAGTGAGGGAACAGCAGGAATGGGGCAGCAGTGAGGGAGCAGGAGGAACAGGGCAGCAGTGAGGGAGCAGGAGGGAATGGGGCAGCAGTGAGGGAGCAGGAGGAACGGGGCAGCAGTGAGGGAACAGGGGGAATGGGGCAGCAGTGAGGGATCGGTGTTTCCCCAAACCGGGCGGCCAGGGGCTGGGCAGCAGCGCGAGTGCCCCCCACACTGTTCCAGGCGCCCTGGGGCACCCAGCGAGGAGGCCGGGAGGGAATTGACACTTCCTGAGCTAAACCAGGGCCCAAACCTCGGCGGAACACACAAATCCCTCCCGGCGACAGCCGAAGGTGCCCCCGGGGCATTCGCCAGCCCCGCTCCGCCCCGGGCCACACGTGGCACTCGCCCTGGAGCCGCTGCCCTCCTGCGCCCCGCCGGGAGCATCCCGTCCCGTCCTGGCCCCGCTGGCACCCTGCAGGAGCCGGGGCTGCAGGAGCATCCCCGGGGCACCCCCGGGCCCCATCGCTGCCCGCAGCCCCTCAGTGCCCCGGGCTGAGCGGCACGGGGCCGCGGGCGGGATGCGAGGGCTGTCCTTACCCCCGGAGCAGCATCGGGAGAGGGCTGGGAAGAAGGAGAAGAAAGCGGAAGAAGGGAAGGAAGCAGGGGAGGGGAAAAAAAGAAATTAAAAAAAAAAAAGCGGCCAAACCAGCAAATCCCAGCCCCTCCAGCCGAGCCCGAGCTCAGCCGCTTGGCTGGGCTGTGGGGCCGCGGCTGGCCCTGCCTCCCGCCTCCTCCTCCTCCTCCTCCTCCTCTCCGCGCACCCGGCCAAAGCCGGCCCGGGACCGCCCGGTCCCCGCAGGGCCGGGCCACCGCCACGCTGGGGACAGCGCTGCCACCCCGGGAACTCCACAGGAGGGGAGCCCCGCGGCCCGGGACGGAGGGATCCTGCCCTGGCCTCCCTCAGGAATGTCCTTTGTCTGCCCTGCCCGGCTGCGGGGGGGTCCCGCTCCCGCATCGGGGCCATTTCTGCAGCCGCAGAGCCCGCCGGCTCTCGGCACCTTCCTGCGAGCATCGCACGGCTGCAGCTGTGCTAAATTCTGCTTTCCGGAGGCCAGATGCTGCCTGGACCCACGGCGAGCCAGGGCCGTGGCATTCCCGGGCAGGAGGGCGGTGGGAGCCGAGCTGGGCGCATCCAAACACATCCCTACTCCAAACCCGGCATGCCACACGTGCCTGCCCCCCAACACCCCCATCCTGCACCCCAACACCCCCATCCTGCCCCCTTCCCGAGGCCCTGCACCCCAACACCCCCATCCTGCACCCCAACACCCCCATCCTGCACCCCAACACCCCCATCCTGCCCCCCACGCAGGACGGGGGTCCTGGGTGGGCAGCGCTTACCCGGAGGTGCCAGGGCTGCCATCCCTGAGGGTCTGAGGGGGCCCCGGGCGTCCCGGCCCCGCTCCGGCTGCTGCTTTAAGCTGTGGCTTTTGATATTCGTGATTGGTTTCATAATCCCGATCAAAAGGAAATCACCAGGATTATGAAATTGTTTTAATCCTCCTGGCTCTGGCCGCACCGGCCCCTGCCAGCACGAGCAGCAAGAAATCACTTTTATCTTCTTAAAATGTCCCCGGCCACCCCGGTGGCCATGGGGCCGTGATCACAGCCAAATGTGAGCCCACAGGGGTGACAACGGGGTGACTCCATGGGGGACAGAACAAGCACCTTCACTTGGCTGCTTCCAGGCAGGAAGGGCCAGCTGAGGGCTCTGTGGAAGAGCCCAGGGCAGAGGAACCACCCTCACCCTGTCCCCCAGCACTCCCCTGGGACACAGGACCCATCCTTACCTGCAGGCCGTTCCAGAAAGGGATCCTGGCTCCTTTGCCTGGGCTCTGGAGGTGACATACGCCTGGGAGACGTCCCCATGGAGCTGGGGTGAGGTGCCAAAGCAAGGGCAGCAGGAGGGCTCCTGCCACCAGCCAGGAATGCCAGCAGGGAGCCGTGGCTGGGATTAAACCTCCGGGAAGTGGCTGCTGTGAGCAGCAACAGGCTTAGAGTGATTTCAAGGCTCTGGGCTCTCTTCTGGAGAGAGACTGATTGCAAGAGGCAATGAAGAGATTTAAAGAGCAAAATAAAAGCACAGACCCCAAACAACCCAGGGCTGGGCTGCTCAGCCTCTGGTGCTCAGGACACCACCTTGGACTGGAGATCAGCTGGAGAGAGGCAACCAAAGGCTCCCAAAAGCACCACGAGCCTTTGGCCAGCACAGCACAGTCTGGGCAGGAGGTTTCCCCCAGCACCAGCCCCTGGCATGCTGGGTGTGAGCTGGGGGGAAACCTGGGCTGCTCCAGCGAGCCCCTCCAACCCCTCCTCAGACATCTCCCTCCTCCAAGCACCTCCACCTCCTCCCAGGACATGGATGTCCTCCACCTCCAGCCACCAGCGACATCCCACAGCTCCCAAGAGAGCGAGAGCAGCGGGAGCCAGCGCTCCAGGGGTGGATGCAGCACGGGGGGGGACTTGGGAAGACACACACACAGACCAGGGACAAAAGAGCCATCAGATCATTGGAAAACAAAGAGCTTGTAATAATGAAAAAAGGACAGATTTCGTAACCAATCACTTTTTCCTTTGAAAAAACACAATCACAGTAACTTTGCTGTATACAACCACCTAGAAACTATGAAACAGTATCACATTGTGCAGTATTATTTTTTTTTAAACCTACTTATCAAGAAGGGAATTCCACACTTCAAAAATTATATCCATTTGGGGAGGAAGGAGGAGACAGCTAATAGCGCAGTCACAGATACATCATGAGTCCAAGCAAGCGGCAATTCTTTGTCCTCACCTTTTCCACTGAGCCAAAACAGAGGAGTGGAGAAGGGGATAGCAAAAGAGAAAGGAGGGGGGAAGAAAGAAAGCACCCACAGAGGACTAATCACACTCCATAATTACTTTTGACATCTACAGGGCTTCATAGAAAGATCATTTAGACCAACACAGCGGGGAGGGGGAGAGGAAGGCGGCAGCGGGGCCCGGGGGAACTTTGGCATTTCCACTCCGGGCCCTTCCGAGCGCCGATCCTTGGCCACGAGGACCTACGGGATGGAGAGGTCATGGCAAGTTCTGCCAGGATGCCCAATTCCTCCTCTGGAGTGAAGAGTTTGCAATTTGGTTTACAGAGCTTGAGGGACTGTCAGGCCACAGAGCACTGTGCCAGGGCTGTGCCCGGGCCAGGAGAGCCTTTGGCTCCCACCAGGAACGGGGCTGGGGTGTCAGCATCGGGGAGCTGCCCGTGTTGTGTCCCTTCCCTCTCCTTTTCCTGGGATTGAAGCCCCCAGGGATGGTGACACCCCAGTTTGGCCCACGGTGGCAGCAGGGGACGCTGGCCCCAAGGTGCAGAGTTTGGGATGGGGTCATGTAAAGGAGGCAAGGTCTGATGAGGTGACAGCCACTGAGCCCAGCCGTGACTGCTGCAGAGGTACTGTAGGGATTTCCCACTCTTCCCCCAGGAGCCCCAGCCCCTCTTTTCCAAGGAGACAAAACAATCTGATTGCCTTCTAGAATAGAAACTCAAATTAAAAAAGAAATAAGAATGCTTAAGGCAGAAGATCACCTTCCCCCTGCGAGTGTGAAGCAGAAGGGCGGAGGAGAGGACAGAGGACACGGAGCTGGGATGCAGCATGTGAGCAAAGTGGCTTTTGTGTCCCCAGCTTGCCAAGCCACGTCCCAGCCCCAGGACACTTCCCAGCACCTGGCCTGAGCTGGGGACACAGCCCCTGATGCCTAGAGAGGAGAGCAGGGCAGCATCCCTGCAGGACAAGGCCAAAGCCCCTCGGCCGCTCAGAACACAGCAAAGGCTTCACGCTGTCCCCACTGGAAGTAAAATCCCCAGGGATTGTTATCTCCTGAAGCAGGAACGTGCTTTCCCTCCCTGTCTGCCACACTGGAGCTGCAGCTGAGCACCAGAACAGAGGCAGAACGGGCAGCACAAGAGTTTTTAGGGAAGTAGGGGCAGCAGGATCCAACTCTGCTGAGATTTCCCCCAGAGATCTCTCCCATTCCAAGATGTTCATGCTGAAGGCTGCTTTCCTTTCATTGGAATCAAACAGCAAAGACACTGAGAGAATGAGGAGGGCCAGGAGCAGGGCTGGGAAAGGCATAGGATGAACACAGCTGACTTTGGGAATGCACCTGGATGAGAGAGGTAGGAGCTTACTGGATACATGCAGGCTGCAGCCAGGAGTGCTGCAAATGCATTTCTTGTAAAACCTGGTGGGACAGCATCAGTTCTCATTGGAGAGCCCCCACTCCTGCTTGCAGAGTCCAAAGATCCCAATCCTGCCCTGCTGTCCTGTCAGGAACACGCCCATGGCACATGGCAATGCCCTGCCCAAGCAAGGGACCTGGTGTTTCTGGTGACACTGTCCCAAAGCCACAGAGGGAACCCCAGCCAGCAAATAAACTCTGGATGCTGCAACACCTCACCCCCTGCAACCCCAAAATCCCCAGAGCAGAGGCAGGATGGAAAGCAGGAGGGAATCAGCATGGAGAAGCAGGTTCAAAGGCAATCTCCAAAAGTCACAAAGGCCACAGGGTGGCATCTCCTGTCCTTAGACTGCACCATCCATGGGTTCCACCAGACCAGACCAGAGCAGCTCCACACCATCCTCAGAGCTGTACAATCCAACCTCCACTGAACCACGAGGCACAGCCCAGCACCTGAAATCCACAGCTTAGAGACCTTCCTCAGCTTCCACCTCCCATCCAGCTGCATCCCAACAACAAAAGCAGTGCACAAACCCCTCACTCCCAGCTCCTTTTAAAGCTGCTCTGTCCTTCTGGACTGCCACCCTGCTGCTCTCCCTACAGGAGCGTTCTCAAGCACCCACGAGCAAAGCTCAGCCCAGGAAATGCCAGCCTGGGAATGTCCCCACTCCCCTGGCTCCTGCTGCTCCCAAGGAGCGACAGGGCTGTTTTCTCTCACCATCTGTTCTGCTTCATTAGGTCTCCCTTTATTGGCCAGATGTTCTCGTAGACGTGGAGCCATCCCGGCTTTAGGGCTCGCTCTCAGGAGGAATCTGCACGCCTGATTTCTCAGAAATCTCTGTGAGGGAGGGAGGGAACAGGCAGATGCAGGGCTGGGAGCTAGGAGCCTTTAAAAGCCACACTTCTGGGAATTCAGGCTGCTTTCCCCCGAGACAGCATCTTCACTGCCAAAAGGGACCATGTTTTATTTTAGGAGATAATGTTTGCTCCTCATAGCATGTCACTTCCCCCCCCCTTTTTTTTTTTTCTCCTTACTTCTCCTGCCAGCAAAGACAGAAAAAGGGAAGAGAAAGAGCAGAGCAAGGAGCAGAGCAGACGGACACACTGAATTCTTGCTTCCCATAAGGATTTGGATAAACTACAGAATAAGAATTTAATCACTTGCAGCCCGACCCACCCGTCACGTTGGGAAGCAGAGGGTGGGACGGTGCAGCAGCAGGATGGACAGATGGACACAGCCCACCCAGCCATGCCCTGCCCTCCCCAGCCCAGCTGAGGAAGGCAGGGTGCTCCCAGGGGACTGGCATCACTTCCAAATCACAGAACCATGGAATGGTTTGGGTTGGAAGTGACCTTAAGGACCATACAGCTCCAACCCCCTGCCAAGGGCAGGGATACCCTCCATGAGACCAAATTGCTCACAATGTCTCTCTGCACTTTTAATTTCCTTCTGAAAGGAAGATAATTACCAGTAAAGCTCAGATTCTGTGTATAAAAAAACCCCACTTCTTTAAGTAACACCCAGTGGTGTTACTTGATTTGAATGAATCCAAATAATTTTGGATTGCCTCCCTCCCAGTGCAGCTGCCCCCCCTAAGCTCCCCAGGCAGGGATGGCTCCATTCCCCACTGCTGGAAAAACCCACACGTGGTCTGGACATGGCACCAATGCAACTTAGGAACCTGAAATATTTTAAGGGGCTGAAATATTTTAAGGGGTTTTATCCCAGACCCCACTTCCATGGGAATGCTGTTTTAAGTATGAGCTGACCTAAGGGAGGCAAAGGGGGGAGATGGACAGATGGACAGCACAGCCCCTGCCCATCCAGCTCTGCTCCCACCAGAGCAGCCCCACACGGAGGGAGGTGAGAGGAGCAGCACCACGACAGGGTTTTAATCTATTTAAAGGCTTTTAATCTATTTCCAACTAAATGAAGAGAACCAAGTTTCCTTCTTCAGTTCCTCTGGGCAAGAGGCACAGCAGGCAAACTGAGGAAATGCAACATTCTGGCTGTGGGGAACACGGTGCTGATTAAGGGAAACAACCACCAAACAGCAACTGAGGAGATTCCTGCCATTCCACTGCCCAAACTGTCACCAGCCAGGTGAGGATCCTCCTTCAGGAGTTTCACCCTTCCCTTGCAGACCCAGGGAGAACAAGGGAAGGACCACAGGACTCTGAGGCTTCCAGGGCTCCCTCCCAGGAGGAGGGGAGACCAACGAGACCACCGAGTCCACATCTCTCTTCCAACATCTCTCAGCTCTCTCACACCTTTCAGCTCATTACCCAAATCTGCTCAAGTACCCACTTCCCAAACTGGGAGCATGAGATGAGTCAAGGGGCAGTGACCAGGGCAGTGCCCAACTGAGGCTTTGTGCTAAACCAGAAGAGCTGTTTTCCATCTCACCTTCCCCACCAGGTGGGCACACCACAGTTCTCTCCATGCTCCCTGAAGCCACTCCCAAGCCCCAGCCCCTCTGTCCCATGAGAACTGTCACCTCCTTGCCTTGTCCCACTTTGCTGGGCTGCTGGAGAAAAGCTCCCTGCTTGGACTGAGATGCCCTCATGACACACCCAAGGCTTGGAAAAGTACTTTTGGATCTGGAGAATGAAGTTCCAAAGCCTTTGCTCGCTCAGTGTTTTGTGCTGTTGGTGGGAACCAACTCTCCTTTCCTTAGGATCATCTGTTCTCTACTTTCACACATGGAGAAGTTGGCTTTGAACTGGCATGAGAGACATGCCCAGAAGCAGTAGCAGCAACTAAAAAAATATCAGAAAGAGAAACTTTGGTTTAAAATAAAATTGGAAAGAAGTAAAAGAGAGAGAAGGTACACACAGGTGCAAGTTGTCTCACTAAAGGGGTATTTGCAAGGGCATCACCCCACAACCCTGGAGATGGAGATCTACATTCCCCACTTTGTTTTACCATTACAACCTTCATTGCACAGGACTCAAAATCACTCTCATATGGTTGTTAAGTTTCATAAATAATGTGAAAACTATATGCAACAGATACATCATATTTCCAAAAAATTATAAGAAAAGTTACATCAAATTAAAAAGTAGCTTCATGAATGAAGATACTGCTCTAAGTGCACTTTCCCTGCAAGTGCAGCCAGTGCCTCAGCGCTGGATATGAAGGAAAAAAACAAACAACTGGAAAAAAACCAA